TTTCCCGAAGGCTGCAGAAGAAAAATTAAGCACCAGCCCCGCCACGTGTGTAAGAAAAGTGTCCTCTCACCTCCAGATTCCCTTTCTCCCTACCCTCCGGGTTCGCTGGCCCCAGGGAAAACAGGCCTCGGCAGCGGGGCCGGAGCTCCACCTCCCGGAGCCACACTATGTCAGAAAGACCTGCGCAGAGAGGGTCGGAAGGGTGGCTTCCCACCGCGGCAGAGCCTTCTAAGGGAGCAAAAAACAAAAAGCGGAAAATCCATCTGCAAAACCAAGCTCCTTATTACCTCCTAAATAAAAGGAGACGGAAGCGGAAGTCCCGGTGTAGGTCATAGAGTACCCTTGTTCCGGTTTCAGTGTTGCGTTCAGGACTAGAGCGCCTTTCTTCCGCCGGCCGTCCCTGGGGCCCTTGCGGCTTCTGTTTCCGGGTGCGGCTTCTGTCATAAAGCAAAGCCGAGACGTTCTTTCTAACGTGGCGTCGTGGGCACTTTGCGCCTCGCCTGGGGTCAGCAAGCAAGGACGAGCGTCGACAGGGGTACTTTGTAGCCAACAGCTGGAGCCGTCCTTGCGTCCCGGGCCCTCGCTGTGGCACCTGTGATACCTCTGAGCTGGCTGGATTTTCAGCCCTCACAGGGGCGCTGATTCGCAGCTCCAGGACTGCAGGTCGAGAGGCCAGCGCTCCTTAGCCCATACCCGTCCCTAGTCTCGCTCTGCCCTGTAAACTGCAGCATTTGAAGGTGCCCCCTACCCACATATCACTTCACAGCGCGCGGAAGTTAACTTTCTTCTTAACCTCACTTTGACATCTGTCCACTCTTCCCCTGCAGAAGAGATCTTTTCCTCTCAGTTGAATCTCCCCGTAAAACAAATTTGAAGTCCCGGATGTCATGCAGCTCCCATCGGATAAAAACTTTCTTTAAAAGTTCATGCTTACTAGGGAGTTTGTGGGAAAAGTGAAACCCAATATACACAGAACACTATGGCTGAGCACGGAGCGCACATTACAACTGCTTCTGTGGCTGATGACCATCCATCCATCTTTGAGGTGGTAGCCCAGGACAGTTTAATGACAGCAGTGAGACCTGCTCTGCAGCATGTGGTTAAGGTAAGGTATTCTGAAAGGTGTCAGGAACGATTGGGTAAAAATACCAAACTATTGTTTGACAGCCTAGGGTTTGAAATAAGTAATTTGTTTATAATTGATTTCTCATGGCCTAATGGATTTTTAGTCCATCAGTATTGAGTCCCATACTCAGTACCTAGCACTTGAGGGACGTTGTTAGACCCCAAAAGGAGTTGACTTGTTTAAGCCAAATAGAATTTAAAGGGGAGGAGGAAATGTAAATTCATGGTATAGTAGCTGTGTACTAGAATTTCATTTGATTTCTTTTGCTTTAGGTTCTTGCAGAATCCAATCCTGCCCAATGTGGCTTCTTTTGGAGGTGGTTTGATGAAATCTTTACTCTGCTAGATTTTCTGCTCCAGCAGCACTATTTGTCTAAAACCAGTGCCTCATTTTCTGAGAACTTTTATGGCTTAAAGCGCGTTGTAATGGGGGACTCTCCCAGGTTGCAGAGACTGGCCAGCTCAGGTCTCCCCAAGAAGCAGCTTTGGAAATCAATTATGTTCCTGGTTCTTCTTCCCTATCTGAAAGTGAAGCTGGAGAAGCTGGTCTCCAGCCTGAGAGAAGAGGATGAATATTCCATTCATCCTCCTTCTTCCCACTGGAAACGATTTTACAGAGCCTTTCTGGCAGCCTATCCATTTGTTAATATGGCCTGGGAAGGTTGGTTTCTTGTACAACAACTTCAGTACATCCTAGGAAAAGCTCAGCACCACTCACCCCTGCTGAAGCTGGCTGGAGTTCGGCTAGGTCGACTGACAATTCAGGATATACAAGCTCTGGAGCACAGACCAGCTGAATTTGGCAGGATGCAGCAACCAGCCAGGAGGTAAGGCCTTAACACTCCCAAAACATCTTTTAAAAAATTCTAAAATCTTATTCCACTTTTATGAAATTTACCTCCCTCAGTCTATTTTTGTTTTATAAAATCATAGAAAACTTATTCCTTGTGTCCATAAAACAAGGACTGCCATCTTGGTAGCACTATCATACTAATTACATTTTAATGCTAGGCCCCAGACTAGGTGTTTGCTTTATGTACACTCTTTTTTTTTTTAGATGGACACGATATCCTCATTGTACCTTTATGTGGTGCTGAGGATTGAACCCAATGCCCCACGCATGCCCCCCGCCCCCGTACATCCACTTTTAAGCCTGATCACAACCCAATGAAGTAAATGCAGTTGCTCCATTGAACAGTTGAGGAAACCAAACCTTTACTCCTTGGCGAAGACTGCAAAACTAGAAGATGGTAGAGTTGAGATTCAAGACAAAGCAATACAATTCTAAATCATATCACTTCTAGCTAGTGCTTGTGTTCTCCTACAAGTTCCTTTGTGTGTATGTGTATAATAAAATGATGCTGAGATATTTTTGTAAAAGAATTGTTTTTTTCTTTTTTTAAAAATATTTTTTATTGTAGGTAGACACAATACATCTTATTTATTTTTATGTGGTACTGGGGATTGAACTCAATGCCTCACACATGCTAGGCATGTGCTCTACCACTGCACTACCACCCCGGCCCAAACTATTTTTTTCTGGATGTACTATCTTCAACTAAAGTCTGCATAATCAAATTCTCTACTAATTTCTTTCTTAAAACTTTAACTTTTTCTTTTTAAATATTATTTTAGTTGTAGATGGATGCAATATCTTTGTTTACTAATTTATTTTTATATGGTACTGAGGATTGAACCCAGTGCCTTGATGTGCGAGGCAAGCGCTGAGCTATAGCCCCAACCCCAAAACTAACTTTTTATTATTAAAAAAAGTTCAGTCCATACTGTGAGTCAGAAAGAGGAAATCATTTAGAATAGATCCTTAAGAAGAAAGGATGCCCATCTAGCAACAAGTCAATTCCCAAATCAGAGATTTTGATGAAAAGTGCAGAACTGCATTTATATTTTGGTCATTCTATGATTATAACTAGATTATTTGCCTCCTTGTTCTCTTCCTAACAGTGTTAGTGAGAAGATAAAGTCAGTTCTGAAGAAAGCTATGGGGGGTGTTGCCTTATCCCTCTCAACTGGCCTTTCTGTTGGTGTATTCTTCCTGCAGTTCCTTGATTGGTGGTACTCATCTGAAAATCAAGAAACCATCAAATCACTAACTGCACTGCCTACCCCACCACCACCTGTACACCTAGACTACAACTCTGACTCTCCCCTCTTACCCAAAATGAAGACTGTGTGCCCTCTGTGCCGTAAAACCCGGGTGAATGATACTGTTCTTGCCACCTCTGGTTATGTGTTTTGTTATCGCTGTGTGTTTAATTATGTGAGGAGTCACCAAGCTTGTCCCATCACAGGTTATCCAACAGAAGTACAACATCTAATTAAACTGTACTCTCCTGAGAACTAAAAGGAATTAGCATCTTGTCTCATAACTTAAGTGTTGCACTGTAAGGCCACAGGGTTGTTTTTCAGCATGGTATATAGCACTGATACTTCTCTGCCCCAATTCATTAACTATATTAACTTAAACAACATATGGTTTTCTTTAAAAAACATACCTACTTGATCCTATCCTTTTAGCCTGCTCTTTAGACCCCTTCTACAGTTGACCAAGCTGGTTAAAATTAGGATAATCAAGATTATAGGGCATATGAGGCTCAATATAGAGATGGACAAAAATTAGTACAGAAGCTTTTCTTCTTCTCAAAGAATAAGAGGTACAGAAGCACTCAAGAAAACCCCAGGTTAGGCCTCATAGTTGGGTGGTGAGGAAGCAGGACTTCTTTGGAAAAGGCATTTATCTCCCTGTGAGGCAGAGTTTTTTATCAGTTCACAAATGCTCTTTATAGAGCAAAACAACTCCCTCCACATACTGTGAACCATTTGTTAATCTGCTATAGTGTATCAGCTTTGAAGATTCTTTTATGAGTCATAATCTCTTTCTTGGGAAAGTGGTCGAAGAAAAATAGGAAAAAAAAAAAGTTTACATAGAGTATGAAAATTTCAATGTGAAAGCAAAGCTAGCAAGCCATGAAAAGATAATATAACATAGTTATCCAACTGTGAGTAATAAAAACACCTTTCAATAAGCTCCTTCTGCTTTCTAATAATAGTTTGTTCAACTCGTATGAATTATTCTGGTTATTACTAAAGTTTCTATGAAACAGTCAAGTAAAAATCTTAAGAATAAATGTTTCTGGCAAAAAACTATTCCATGCTGTCATGATTATGTGGAAACTTAAAAGATTACTCAACATGTTTTTAAAATAAATTTTCATTCAGACTATGTTTGGCTTCTTATATATTTTGGTATTAATTATTAACATTTTGCATTTAAATTTTTTTTTGGTAATCCAATAATTAGAACAAAATTTCTCTGTTCCTACATCAAGAATCAACTTTGTGTGAAATACCTTGTTTCAGAAATGCTATAGAAACACTGTAGCCTATATGGGAAAATTTATGCCACTGGATTAGCAGGTTGGTGAAAACATGGGTTTTTAAAGAAATCATTAATAGAATAGGATGGATAAAAATAATTTAAGCGCCTTTGCTGAGATATGTGTTTTTCTATCCTTTCCTCATTTTAGCAACTCAAAGTACATTCTCTGATAGCATAAAGATGATACTGCTAAATTTCTAAATGGAGTAGCTAAGAAAAATCCTATGGATTTTTTTCTTTTTGGGGGGTACTGGGATTGAACTCGGGCACTCAACCACTGAGCCACATCCCTTGCCTATTTCACATTTTATTTAGAGACAGGGTCTCATTGAGTTGCTTAGTGCCTCACTTTTCTGAGGCTGGCTTTGAACCCACAATCCTCCTGCCTCCCAAGCTGCTGGGATTACAGGCGTACAACATGGCATCCAGCAATCCTATGAATTTTAAAATGTTAAAATTATTACATACCACAAAAGAGTACATATATTTTTTTTAATTTATAAAACCTCCAAGGTTTTACCAAACAAATAACACAGTTAATGAAAACATTTTTCATACAGTCAATAAGGGAACTGATTCAGATTCAGGATTGAAATGATGCAGTCCTTCACGAAGATTTCAAAGCCAGATTTTCCACCTCAACCTAAAAAGAGAAATATGAAAGTATCAATAATTCAAACATTTATCAAAAACAAACTTATACATAATAACACCAATATCCAAACAAGCTAGAACATGTGTGTTCTAAAACCACAACCAGAATCAGCTCAGAGAGAAGATTAAGGGATCATACCCTGGTCAAAGCCAACATTAAAGCAATGGCAATACCAGGTCAGTCTATACTTCGCTCATCATTGCATCACTACATTTCACCTTGTATTACCTAAAAGCAGCTGAATGTCCTACACATCCAAGAAAACTTAGGCTTACCTATGAAAAACAAGTTTCTTTTTAGATATTTTTCAATCATGGGATTCCAATATTTTATCTTTACTATGCTTTCAGTAACTCTGCTGTACAAAAATGCAAACTTGACCAAGTTTTGTTTTGGGGGGGAACTTTTTTATTTTGAAGCAGAGGCAAGTAGAGAAGCATTTACCATTCAGAAACACTTTTTTTGTTTTGTTTAAAAGAGCCCTGACTCCATGCATGATAAAATCTCAGGGATGTTTGTTAAGAATTTATAAGCCGGGTGTGGTGACACATGCCTGTAATTCCAGCAGCTTGGGAGGCTGAGATAGAAGATCACCGAGTTCAAAACCAGTCTCAGCAATTTATCAAGGCCCTAAGCAACTCATTGAGACCCTGTCTTTGAATAAATTACAAAAAAAGGATGGGGATGTGGTTCAGTGGTTAAATGCCCATGAGTTCAATCCCCGGCACCAAAAAAAAAAAAAAATTTATAGAATTTATAGTTCTAAAGCAGAAGCTTTAGAAAAGACTTTCTTACTAAATTATAAAGTCCAAGCCGGGCACTGTGGCCCACCCCTGTAATCCCAGTAGCTCAGAAGGCTGAGGCAGGAGGATCACAAGTTCAAAGCCAGCCTCAGCAACTGCGAGGCACTAAGCAACTCAGTGAGACCCTGTCTCTAAATACAAAATAGAGATAGGGATGTGGCTCAGTGGTCAAGTACCCCTGAGTTCAATCCCCGGTACCAAAAAGAAAACAAAAAAGAATATTATAAAGTCCAGTTCATTAAATATAAAATTCAATTTATAATTCTACCAGGAAAGATAAAAATCACAATGCTTTTGGACATGGTAACACATGCCTGTGGTCCCAGCTACCTGAGAGGCTAAGGCAGGAATTCCAATCACTTGAGGTCAGGAATTAGAGGTCAGCCAAGACCCTCTCTCTAAAACAAGCAAAAATACAGTCACAAAATTTTTATACAATAATCTTCTAATTTAAGAATCCAAGACTCAGGCTATGATTTGCCAAAAGTCTACAGCAAATTAACATCAGAGAGAAACTGGGCCTGATTATCAGATTTATTTTTCTACTAATAGCATCCAGGTTCCTATCCTTCACTAATGTGGGAGGCCATTGGCAAGCAAGGCAAATCCTGAGTAATCTACAACGTGAATAATGAATTTCTGAATGAGAAAGCTGACTACACTTAGTTTATTCCAAGTGATATATTCTGGTTGTATACTATTGCTTACATAGAAAAATACCAGTATCACAAAGTCACTTTCTCCACACATTTGTCATCATATTGTCAATATGTGAATTACAATTCTGGAGTGATCATATACTTACTTCCTGTCTGTAAAATGTCAATAGACTGATATTCCATAATTAAAAATGGACAGCTTTTGATCTATGTTTGTCTTTCAACAACTAAGCCCTATAAGGAGACAGAAACTAACTAGGTTCCTGTCAAACATGGGCTAGCTCTTCATCCCTTACAAGTGTAACAAATATGTCAGAAATGGTGGGGAGGGGGAACTGAGAGCTTAATTTAAATAAATCTGCCTAAAATCATGAAATCTATAGGAATCCTGAGCTCTGAATCATATATATTTTTAGTTGTAGATGGACACAATAACTTTATTTATTTATTTTTATGTGATGCTGGGATCAAACCCAGTGCTTCACCTGTGGTAGGCAAGCACTCTACCAATGAGCTACAACCCCAGCCCATGACTGCCTGATTTTTGTTCCTTCTACTAGACCAGACTGCCTCCAGCTTTTCTCCCATCCAACGTACACCCTCACTAACCTTAAAATATGGGGGTGTGATTATTTCATTACTCTCAAGCATTCAATTATTCCCCATGGTCCAAGAAATAAAACCCAAACTGCTATGCTTAGCATTCTCCATGTTTCAATACTGACCCACGCATGAAGCCTTGAGTTCAATCCCCAGCACCCAAACCAAAACAAAACAGACCTAGATGTATCTTTTTTTTTTTTAATTTTTTAAAATATTTATTTATTTTTTAGTTCTCGGCGGACACAACATCTTTGTTTGTATGTGGTGCTGAGGATCGAACCCAGGCCGCACGCATGCCAGGCAAGCGTGCGTGCTACCACTTGAGCCACATCCCCAGCCCTAGATGTATCTTTAATACCATAACCCTAACATGTACTTTACAGTCTACCCAACCCATACTCTTCTTAAATCCGCTATTTGACCTTGTGCCTTCCATGCAGGAAGTTCTTATTTCCCTTAGTAGAAATCCTTCCCATACAGCAATCCCACCTCTCCAGTTTGTGACCCTCCAAAATGACACTTTGCATAAAGCCATCATCCAAAAGGAAGTATCTGGCCTTCCTCTGAATTACAGAAGCATGTGAATACTATCTTGTGGAACCTATCTTACGTTGTGTTTTAAGATCCAGAAAGACTCCTAACATGGAATTCAAGCTTTGCTCCAGCCATAACCAACAGATAAATCTTCCTAATTTCTCTGGTCTGTACGTACACTCTGCTACACTGGAGTGCCTTCCATTATTCCATTCAATGGGGAGAATCCCTAAGTTTGATTTTAGGATTACTCAAATGTCACCTTTTCTATTTCCCCCAGTCAAACCTTTCTCTGACTCTCACAGCATTTTCTTCCACCACAGCACGCATCACCTGCCACCTCATCCACTCACGTTTTCTCCCCTCTCTCCCACCAGTCCTGTTAGGAGTTCCTAAAGAATAAGGACTAGTTTCCGTAAAGGGTACTTAGAAGGAGTTCAATACAAGAGCGTTTAATTCAGTCAATGGGCGACCGACCCTACCAAAGCCTAAACTTCTGGATTATATAAAAGCTTAGCATAATTAATAAAGCGGACTTACCTCCAATGTGTCACGTGGGTAAGGACCACACCTCAGCGTCTCCAAGCCCTCATTCCCCCACCCTCAAGCTCACACGCTCTGAAGAGATCCCTCCGCAGGACAACCGTGCTTACACGCAGTAGATTCTCAAATAAAGTTAAGGTCCAAACCCCGCCAATTCCAAGAACGACTGAAGCCGTCCTTGGCGGGGAGAAACAGGAGTAAGGCCGAAGCCAGGGCTCAAATCAAAAGCCCAGGCAGGTATCCACAACCCGCTTTCCGAACGCCTAAACCTCCTACGATCCAGACTCTCAGCAGTCACGTCCTCGCCTGGGAGACTGATGGCAGCCAAGCCCCAGACTCTCCGACCTCAGCCATGGCTGCTTCCCGCGTCCTCTTCCCTCTACCTAGCTCCTGGGTCCGCATCCCACAGCCCAGCGCGGCCCCTGGGTAGACAGCCAATCCGGGGCGTTCATACGTCACGTGGGTGAGCGTAAGGCGGGGCTGGCCTGAAGAGCAGCCAATTGGAGACCGAGGCAAACGCCAGCGCTAGAACTGACAAGGTGGTGGAGGCATCTTTTCGGTTCCCCTCTCTGCGTCGCCTCTAGTCTCCCTGCAATTTTTACCCCGATACAATTCCCTGTCCTCGGATCTCGAAGCCACTGTTAGGCCGAATAATTTTGCCTGTGTCTTGACGTTTAACAACGGGGAAGAGCCTCATGCGAGGTGGTGGAGTATGTGTGCCCTAGGCTTGCAGGAAAAACTTTTAGACTTTGATCCCACACCCCAGTAATTATGGTGCTCGTCTCAGGTTCCCACCTGAGACTAGGGGTTGCGGTGGGTCCAACAGATGAGGGTGTCCTTCCCTGTCCAGGGAGAACTCGTTGGGTGGCCGGGCTTTTGGACACTTCCAAAGAAAAAAAAAGAAAGAAAGGTGTCAAAAGAAAAGTGCAGCTAAATGCAAAAGTCGTGGGAAGGCAAGCGGGAAAGACCTGCCTGGGAGGGGTGGCATTTTTTCTGGGTCTTGAAGGATGGCTGATATTTGAGGATTAGGAGGTTCTAGAAGAAAGAAAGATTTAAACTCCGAATTAGCTGAGAAAGCAAGTTTAACAAATTTTGATAAAGTTGATAGGTACTTCTCAAAATTCTATGAGTTAAACCGGGCGTGGTGGCGCACACCTGTAATCCCAGCAACCCAAGAGGCTGAGGCAGGAGGATTCCAAGTTCAAAGCCAGCCTGAGCAATTTAGCCAAGCCCTAAGCAACTTAATGAAACCCTGTATCAAAATAAAAAAGGCTGAGGATGCGGCTCAGTGGCAAAATCCCCCTGAGTTCAATCAGGACTAGGATTTGAACACCCTATGTATCTCTACCCGGTACCCAATAAATAAATAAATAAATAAATGAAATTCAATGAGTTAGAAACACCTGTCAGCAATACAGATATCCTCCAACGTAAAAAAAAAAAAAAGTGTGCCTGGCACCAAACCAAGAGTGTCCAACCATTCTTTTTTAAAAAATATTTTTTAAAATTTAATTAGTTATATGTGACAGCAGAATGCATTACAATTCATATTACACATATAGAGCACAATTTTTTATAGCTCTGGAGGTACACAAAGTAGAGTCACACCACTCGTGTCTTCATACATGTTCTTAGGGGTAATGATGTCACGTGAGTGAGCGTAAGGCGGGGCTGGCCTGAAGAGCAGTGAATTGGAGACCAATCAGATTCTAGGGTTCAGTCCAATCATGTGTATTTTTAATAAAGGCTCCAGGGGTGATTCTGATTCACACCAAAATTTAAGAACCAGTGTTAGTGTTAAAGAAAAGTGGTAGGAGAAAAGTGGGCTAAGGCTTTGCTAAGGGTATTAGCTAATTGGCTATGTAGTTGATAGGTGCTTCTCAAAATTTTATAAGTTAAGCCAGGCGTGGTGCGCACATTATTATTATTATTATTCTGGAGAAAGTAGGAGAATTAAAGATTTCAGAGGCCAAGGAGTTGGGTGATCAGGGTTGTACTTAAGGAAACTCAATCTGCAACTGTGTTTAGTTTAGAGGGGACTAAAGAGTGAAAGCAGGGGAAGGAATCTCAAGGTGAAAGCTAAGAGCCTAAATGAGACTAGCAGTTGAAAAGGAGTGGTGACAAAGGAAAGGCGGATGAGGATTGCAATGAGTGTCAGACAGTGATGGGCAATGGAGGAAAACAATGGCTTCTGTACCAGAACCATCCAGAACCTCTCTTGTACTTTCTAAATCTTATCTTTTTTCTCAACCTAGTGCTTCCTTCCTTACAGGTTCCAGTGCACACATGTCATTTGGGAAATCTTTTCTGATTCTCACAAGTATATTTATTGTCATAGTTATTGTCCCTTCTCAAAATACCCAGTGTACACTGCTCATATATTGCTAGCTCTAGAGTGGCTCTAGACTGCATTGGTCATGCACATGCAACTTAAACTTGGTTCTTCAGTTTTCCTGTCTGTAAGGAGAATAAGAGGGTGATAACAGCATCTGCCTCACAAAGATGTCATAAGATGAATAAGCACAATGCCTAGTACACAGAATCCTCAGATGATGTTATTGAGTCACTATTATGAGTTGTTTAATACATGTTTTCCCTCTTTTAGGTTGTGAACAGGACATGTGTCTTATTTTTCCAGCTATCAGTTAGGCTATGTGGCAGAATGTAGTAGATGGGCTTTGGATTTAGATAGACCAGTGTTCAAATCCCAGTTCTGTTACTTACTAGATAAGTAATCTTGAGCTTTATTTATCTTGCTGAACTATTTTGTCATTTATAAGATAATAGAAATAATATGTCTTATAAATTGTTATGAGGATCATATGAAAGAATGAAAATTGCATATTTGGTCCAAATGAGGCAGTCACTAAATGGCAGTTTTTATTTTGGCATGTATCCTCAGAGCACAGCATCATGTTTGGAACATAGTAATCACTCAATAATTGATGCTTGAATGAAAAACTGACATTATATGTGTGGCACCATGCCAGACTCTTTTTATGTATTGTGTGACTTAATTCTCACAAGTACTCTGTGCAGAAGCACTATTATTATCTCCAATTTACATGGAAAGGTCCTAAGGCTTAGATTAGCTTAACGTAGGTCTAATAGCTAGAATGTAGCAGGACTAGGGTTTGAACACCCTGTGTATCTCAAAACAGCTGATTGAATAAAAGTTTTCTAACACAGAGTCAAGTGGTGGCATTATGGAGCCAAGACTGTTGTTCTTGGTCACTGTTTTCTCCACAGTCATCTCTCTGAAAGAATTGAGGGTGAGATGGAGGCACCTGGTAGTTAGGAACCAACCCTTCCTCTTCAGCAGGTATTTGACAGTTTCTTTTGATGAATATGCAGGCTGTGGATAACAATCTTTGCTGATAAACCGAAATATTTAGTGAATAGACACATCTTAAACAAATTGGGTGTTCTGGTTTTAGTCAGTTTGATAATATAGCATGGCCAGATAATTTTCTCAAGACCAAAGGAAAAAAGCACTATCCAAGCTATTGATTTCAAGTTGTTTTATATCAGGAACACTTGCTTTAGAGATATCAAAGCCAGTATTGGGCTAGGTTGTGGCTCAGTAGTAGAGTGCTTGCCTAGCACATATGAGGCCCTGGGTTCAATCCTCAGCACCACATAAAAATAAATAAATAAAATAAAGGTATCGTGTCCAATTACAACTAAAAAAATAAATATTAAAAAAAGACATGTCAAAGTCAGTATGTGAGTGGCTTCCTGGCATGACAGCCTAACTATTCATATCCAGAAGACTTAACTAAGGAGCTTTGGAGAAAGAAAAGAAACGCCTTTTTCTCATTGTCCACATTATACCTACCCCCTTTGGCTGATTTGACCCTCTACATTGCACTACAGGAGAGTAAGGAGGGAGCAACAATCCAGCTCACTGTTCTCCGGACTGGTTGACTGGGAAGGAAAAGAGAAGGTACTTAGGGAAACTTCTGATTCTGAAGGCTGTCAAGCAACCCAGAAGCCCACACCTGAAATGCTGAAACAGGAGAAGGATCATTTGAATTAGATTTGGTTTTGAAGCCCAGCATTTCCATTTGCTGGTCATGTAATCTCAGTTTCCATGTAGTGTGTACAGCTCCCAGCAAGGTCCCTTGCATCAAGGAAGAACATTTCTAGTAAGTGGTAATCATTTTTACCCTTCTAAAAGTAAATAATTGCAGAAGATTTCAGTGCAGGAGTGAGACTGAGAATGAAGACAGGTAGTAGGACTGAAGTGAGACTGAATTCAGAAAAGGGAGTTAAAGTTGAAAAAAAAAAGAAGTTAAAGTTGAAGTTGAGAGCAGGCTGTAAAAACTTACCATTCTTCTTAGATAATCATATGCCATAATATCCATTCTGTCTCCTATTCTGAAAACTCCACTCAGCCAAACATGTGTAAAGACTAGTGCCAACAAAGTAGAACTTTATAGGGGTGCTAACCTCAAGTTAACAAAAAAGATCAGATAAAATAAAATAAGCATGTCCAGAGACCTATGTAAGAATGTGACTTCATTGTAAACAAATTGAAGCAGAAAAATAGAACTGTTTGGCTGGTTTGATATGGAGAGAGAAGTGTTTAGTTTCCTGGATGCCATAACAAATTACCACAGACTTAATGGCTTAGAGGAAAAAAAATTCACAGATCTTTTAAAATCAGTTTAAGTAGGCTGAAATCAAGGTGTCTTTGGGGCCCTGCTCTCTCTAAAAACTCTATAGGAGAATCCATTCCTACTCTCCTCCAGTTTCTGTTGACTGCCAGCATTCCTTTGCTGGTGGCTGCATCACTCCACTCTTTGTCTCTATTATCACATTGCCTGTTCCTGTCTTGCATATATCAACTCTCCATCTCTCTCTTATGAGGACACTTAGGACAATATTTAGGATCCACCAGGTAATCCAGGATAATCTCCATTTCCCCATCTCAAGATCTTTAATCACATCTGCCAAGACCATGTTTCTTTATAAGGTAACATTTACCAATTCATAGCAAAGACAATAAGGGGAAACCATTATTTAGCCTATTACAAAAAAATTGATCCAGTTCAATCAACATCCCCAAATGAGATACCTGATTCTCAACACTTTATTTTTTAAAATTATAAAAATGATTCATGCTTATTGTGAACCATTTTAAAACATTACAGTACAGTTGAAGAAAAGAAAGGGAAAAAAAGAGAAATTAAATGAAAAACTATAATCCTTCAGGCCAGGGACAACCAGCTCCCCATCTGTGTGCATTTTACTAGGCCGGGTCTTATCAAAGAGAAAGAGAAGTAAGTAGAATAGAACCAAGAAATTCGGAAGGTGATGAAATAAGTTAATATTGCTCACAATGAAAATGTACAGAGCAGCCTAATTTAAAATAAATGTGGAACTTGGCAACAAAATCAACCAGGGTGAAAGATGCTTGTCTGGTGTGTGGAACTGATGCTCATTCACTTAGAGGTTGTACATTTAACTTTGGCTACTCACGTGAAAACCCCTGAATTTCCCCCACAACAAGGACCTGATTCACTCTTTGAGGTCAGCCTGTGGCCTGCTGATCTGC